ATTATTAAACTACATGTATTATTATTTATGTTTAGTCGAGCTATAGCAACATTTTGCTTGTACCACAGGGAGCCCAGGAACTATGATCAACTGTACGCACTCCCCATGAGCTCATATGGAGTGCGTACAGTTGATCATAGTCCTTGGGCTCCCTGTGCCTGTACTTTAGCAGTATACTGGATGTGGCCACATGATTTAAATATTATAATGTTAATAAGTTGAAATAAATAGTTATTAAATTAAATATTATTTTGTCTAATGTATATAATTAGTGATCCTGCAATATCAGATGTATTGGTAGTAATTTGTTTTCCGAACCCAGCTACTATACGAGTAGAATATGATAATAAAATTGTGGGTTCTAAAATTCAGAAATAACCACCACCAGTTTCACGACATATTGAACCTATGGTTAATTATATTACATTACATTATTAACATTATAACAACTTCATTTTGAGCACAAAAACATGTTTAAATGTGGTATAGCTTTTGAAAAGTTATATTTGCAATCATAGTTTAATTAAGTTTGCCCTGGAACTAGCATACAGCAATTATAATTGTACTTGTATTTCGGCCTTGCGAAATTCATTCGCGAAGTTTCTTGATAGCGGCAAAGTTGATATATCGTCTCAATTGATTTCAATTTTAACAATATGACGCGTGTTAGCGCCGTACAACTGATTGCGGTTTAAAAGTTGACAGAACTTAAATGTCCACGAGCAAGCCGCTACAGATGACAATCCGTCTTTGGTGTTGTTCCCGCAAAATTATTTTTCACGCGCTTTTCTTTCGAACCCAAACAACCCGATGGTCGTAATGTTGTACATGCCCATAGAGAAAAATGACTGTTTTCTTGATTTCTGTTGATAGAAGAATTTAACTTGTGTTTGGGGGCCTACTTCTAAACACATAAATCGTGGTGTTTCAGGTATTTTAGACCGCCTTGCAGAAATTAAAAGTGCCTCTCTTCAATCAAAAACCTGCATTTATATACCACTGGTGAAATATAATACCCTGTATATCATTTTGGCAGCTTTTTAAAGCGCACAATACATATCAAGTATGACCGGCACTCTCTATAAATTAAACACATATATTTATTTTTACTCATATTCTTGACGCACTTGGTGAGATGAGAACATACCTAATTACCTGTTTCATCTAGTCACAAAACAAAATAACACACGTTACATGCATGACACGGATAAGCAAATATGGGTCAATGTTCTGTAGACATTGTTTGCAGCAATAGACTCGCCTGATAACAGTTTAATGTGCATTCCTGTCATCGAGTAGGTAATAACCAGTCTCCGCTGATCTCCTTATACCGACGTGAACGTGATAACCCCACGACCTGTGTATATCACTTTGACTTCGACATGCATTGTTTTGGTGTCACCATGACGCCGGTCAGATAATATAAAATTGCGACAGGAATGTGTTAACACAAAATATTCAGAAAAAATTGTATTGTAAGTTTAAACGTGTAAATTGGCCACGATTGAATGTGATTATTTGCAAGACATATTCTTATTCTACTTTATTTTTAGTAAAATCGTAAACACAATACTCAAATAAAAACAGAAATATATGCAAACAAAGGTCCTAGACAATACAGACATATTGTATTGAACGTTAATGTATTTAAACTCAATAATACTGTAACAATATAATCTCAAAATAACCATAATCATATCTAAACAAATCTTTCAATGAACAAATTTGTTTCAGTAAACATCAAATAGTTTGCACCATTACCGACAACCTGTTATGAATCATTTAAAACAATGGTGTTATTCTCACCCCCCGCCCACAATGTAAAAACTTTCATCCATAAACACAATACAGTCACACGTACGATGTTAACACAGGACAGTCATACATAAATGTAAACACAAGACAGTCACACGTACGATGTTAACACAGGACAGTACACATA